GTGCAAGTCTCTCAGCTTCTCTTCAGGTTTGGTGGAGAAAAGGCTGTATCCAGATAATACAAGGAATAAGGATTATCTGTGAGTCTACATGTGTATTCACACAGCCCTCCACCTTCAGGCAGCGAAGGGACAAAGACCAATCTGATTAGAGACAAGAAAACCAGCCAAGACAGACTGATGTACATAGTACATAAATGGGCAATGTAGCTGGTACAACAACTGTCTCTCTCAAGAGCAGGCCAACAGGCTTGGGAAAGTCAAGGCCAAGACTTCAAGACCATACATGGGGAAACAAAGCATTTAGGATTTAGATTGTTTCCTCAAGGACAGAGACTCCAACTCAATCTTGGAGGCTCTGAGATCACAGAATCTTCTGTCCTTTGAGAACCCCCCAGCTTTGGGGGGCTGGCTAGCAGCTCAGAGACAGCAGGAGGCTTGCTTTGTAGGCTCTAGGTTTGATAACCTGGGGTTGTGACTGCCTGCTCCTCTGAGGTGAGGGGTGCTGACAAGCAGGGCAGGGGGTGCTCCACACTGTCTTCACAGGATTCTTTCACTAGTCTGGCAGGAGAAGACTTTTTTGTGTGTTTTTTGTTTGCTTGTTTTTTAGAGACAGGGTTTCTATGTGTAACAGTTGTGGATGTCCTGAAACTCACTCTGTAGACCAGGCTGGCCTCGAACTCAAGAGATGTGCTTGCCTCTGCCTCCAGAGTGCAGGGATTAAAGGCCTGTGCCACCATCGTCTGGTAACACTTCTTTATAGAAACATGTAAGGATTTTTATTTTATCCTACAAAATTGGGCTGGGGATGTGGCCTGTTTGGTAGAGTGCTTGCTTAGCATGGATGAAACAAAGTTTCATCCCTAGGACCACCACATAAGCCAGGCTTGGGAACACATGTCTGTAACCTCAACATTCAGGAGGTATAATAAGGGCTGGATGGAAAATAAGTTCAAGGTGACCTTTGTTTTTGTTTTTTTTTTTTTTAAAAAAGATTTATTTATTTATTAAGCATACAATGTACTGCTGGCAAGGAAGGCACCAGGTCTCATTACAGATGATTGTGAGCCACCATGTGGTTGCTAGAAATTAAACTCGGAACCTCTGGAAGAGCAGCCAGTGCTCTTACCCTCTGAGCCATCTCTCCAGCCCTCAAGGTGACCTTTGAGTACTACTATATCCAACACTGGGCTAGAGATCCTGTCTCAAAACACATTAAATAATCTAAGATCTATCTTTGTGGGTTGGGGCCTGACTCTAGGGAGGCGGGACTAAGCAATGGATTTGGAAGCCCTAAGGCGACGTCCCAGTTTCGGGGCTAGGATCTGAAAGTATTATCCAGGTATCCTAGTGTCTGTCTAGCCCCAGCCTGACTTCAGGTGGACCCTCATCTTTCCGTATTTCCAGAGTAACTTGCCTCCGCTTAGACAGCAAAGGGCTGGGTGTTAACTGTCACCAGGTGTGGTGATGGATGAGTCCCTAGAATTTCAAGCCATCCCAAAATGGCTGGTAGTAAGGAAGGTAGGTTTACTCAAGGGCCTGTTGTGTAGGTGCATCTGAGGAACAGGCCTTACTTCCCACGACACTGGAGGGTCTCTCCTGTCTGACATCTACCAGCCACCAAAGATGGCAAGGGTAAATGTGGTTTCCCTTGAGGAAGAGGCATGTGATCTAGCAGTACCATACAGTCCTTATTTTTTGTCTTGAGGCAAAAGTGGAAGAGTGGGGGTGGAAAGTAACTCTTGGTTTTGCTTGGATTGCAGAGCCAGGCTAACCCAGTGCCATTTTGCTCTGGTCTTCAACATACACCTAGCTTCCTACCCCACTGTTCAGCTTTCAAAGGATTTTCATGTCAGGCAAAGCCTCACACATAAATAGAATCCTCTATAGTTATAGTCCAGTTAGCTTTCCCTCAGGGCACACCCGACACATCTGTGGATGGGTTTTGGGAGCCGAGAAGAGTGAACATGAAACCTAATGCACTTGCTGAGCTGCCACAGGCGTCCTTCAACCCTGGGGACCCAGAGGCTGCAGACAAATGGGGGAGGAGCAGACACCCCGAGCTGCTCCCTCTGTTCAGCCTCTGCCTCACTCCTGACCAGCACTCCTGATTGCTCTCCAGCTTTTGACATGGGCAGGGGAGTATCCTGCCTTCTCAAGCAAGACACTTACAGAGAACTGTTAGGGAGCTCATCCGGGAAGCTGAAAGGGAGAGAGGAGTCTGTGTGCAGGACAGCCCGTTCCTGAATACTGCCACAGCCCGTTACCATCTGCCAGCTGCCAAAGTCTGTGGAGAGAGAGGATCCGGGCAGGGGATGGTCCACTGATCTGGGGCAGAGAGGAGAGAGAGGGGAGACGATGCAGTCAGTCACATGCCTGACAGGGGTACCCTAGGGAAGGGTGGGCAGCACAATGGCCCTGTGCCATGGCTCTGAGGTTCTGATGGAGCAGCTGAAAGTCAACTACTTTCTCCAAAAAAGCAAACAAAGCTGGGTAAGGGGTGAGAGAGAAAGAAGACTATAAGGTGTGCTGGGCTGTGAGGACAGTGCTTTGTGTAGATAATGAAGCCAAAGACCAAGAGCAAAGCAAAGCAACAAGAGGTAAACCAGACCCAAAGCCTGTGGTCGATGTGCCTTTCCTGGTGGCTGATGCAGTTAAGTGTCACCTCAACAGCAGATCAGGCTGAAGCCGGCCCCAAGGGCAGTCACCCTCTTGTGACAGTATCTGTGCAGCATGGAACCCAGGGCCACTGAAATCTTATCAGAAGGGGGGAGAACAAGGCTTTTGGAAACCGTGGAGGGTGGTGACCTAGATGGAAGAGTGAAGAGATAGAGCCCTGAGGTCCCCCCTTCCTCTGCAGCTCCTTCCAGGAGCCAGAGTTTGTATTCAAGAGCACCACAGAGCCAACTATGCCCAGAGGGGAGGGATGAATCAAACCAGGCTGCAAATTGACAGCTTCATCAGACCTCTTCTGACAGAGATTTGGGAGCTGGGGAGGGAAGTTGTGCTGCCACCTCCTCCCTACTCAACAGCCAAGCCCTCGCCTCTGTCCTGGACAGCAGCTGACCTGTGGGCGGTCTGAGAGGCTGCAAGTCAGTCTCTGGCATTAAGCCTGGAGCTCAATACATAGCCCAGGCTGCCCTCAAACTTGAGCAGTCCTCCTGCCTTAGCCTCCCCTCCCAAGTACTAGAATTGATTTATTATTATTTATTATTTAACTCAACTTTTATTATTTAACTCAAGAATAGCAGAAAGGCTCCCATAAGGATGCAGAAACAAGGCCAGAGTATGAACAGGGTGGGGTCAGGAAGCAGAGGAAAAAATACCTACCCACTTAGCGGCTGGCATCAGTGGATCCTCAGGTGACAGCACCTACCCTCCCTCCTCCCAGCTGTTCGGCCAGTCTTACTGTCAAGCACCCGTGACCTATGTGACTATGTGCTCTGGTGATCCATTTGAAACAGGCTTGCAACAAACTATGTAGGCCAAATGGACCTTGAATTTGTTATCTATCCTGCCTCAGCTTCCCAAGTGCCAGAATGACAGCCATGAACCACCACCATACCCAGACACAAGAGCCACTGTGGATGTCAGAAGACAACTTGCAGGCATTGATTCTCTCCATCTACATGTGGGTCCTTGAACTGAACTTAGATTTTAGGCTTGGCACCATCTCATCAGCCCTTTAAGAAGTTTTTAAACTCGAGTTTGACTACAGATTTGTCCTGAACGAGAAGTATAGCACCTTGTGAGAAAGGAAAACAGATGGCTTTTCACAGGAAAAGCTGCTGTGAACTGGAATACCTGCCAACACTGGCCCTTGCTACATTCATCACTGTGGTGACCTTAGGCAAAGTGTGATGTCTTCAGGGTTGAGAACAGGACTTGGTCTACTACCTGATAGAAGCCCCCCAAGGGTGCACAAAGCCAGACCTCTTGGTCTCTAGATAGATAAAAGTCAGACCTGTGAATCACAGCCAGCCTCTCAAGAGAAGCCAAGCCTGCCCTGGGTGTTCTCCTGGCAGTGCTGGGCCTGCAGCCAGTGCAAACCCTCCAGAGGCACAAGCTTGGCTCCTCAGTCTCCACAGACCATCTGAAGAGTAGACTCTTTTCCATTTTTAGCAGCTTATGGGGAAACAGCTTCTAAGACTCAAAGGAGATTTGGGAGTGGGGGTAGAGCACCTGAGCAGAGCAAACTGGGCGAGATGGAACATTTCTGGGCCAGGGACTGCCATCAAATTTCTCAAGCCCCAAACCCATTCCCTGGAGGCTAGCCCAGGGAATCACAGCCTAGTTCCCCTCAACCCTCTGGTCCCTTAGGGTAGTCAATTCCCTTTGCTTCCCACAGGCAACACCAGGCCAGAGTAGCTGTCAGGTGGATGAGGCAAAAGGGCCAGCAAGAGGGCACCCCCTCCTATGGAACAGAAACAGCTCACACTGAGCAGCCATTCTTGAGAGACACTGAACGAAAACACAAGATCTTTCTACCTGAGGTTTAAGTCAAATAATAGGTTATGTAAAATGACCATTCAGCTCTTACATTTGGAGGGCCCTATGCCTGCATATGAGAAGGAGAGCTGGAGTAAGCTCAGCATTTGGGTTACCCTCATCAGCTTTAGTAAGGCTGCAGCCCAGGGCCCTGGGCTCCTACACAAGGGTCAACAAAGCTGTGAAGAGAGAAGTCTGATTTGCCTCCTGTGCTCGCCTGCTCAAGCACCAAAAAGAACATAGCCAAGTAGCCCTCAAACTGGAGCTATGGAGCTTTGTACTCAGCCTGAGGCCTAGAAGACCAAAGCCTCTGCACAGGATGGTGGCTTCCGGGTAACATTTTACTCCCTTAGCTGACCCCAGCCCAGGCCCTCCTTCAGTGGCTCCCAGCCTCCCTAACTCCTGGAGAACACCTGGCTGAGGGCAGTTATAGCCAGGGAGCTTCTAGCTACTACTTCCTGTACTGAGACACATGAAAACAGATACAATGAATACTGGCTGAATCTAGGCAAGAATAGGTCTGGGTGAGGCACCAGGCTTTTATCAGTTGCCCAGTGCCCTGACATGGCTGGCAGATAAATGATTGATAAGAATAGTTCCTAATAAAACAGATGCAGTTCCTGAACATTTGTAGGAAGAACAAATATCTATCATGTCAGGACTGATAGACACCTTACTTCATTACACCATTTCACCCTTATTTACAGGGTTCAGGATCACTATTCTTACTTAAAACTGGGCTCAAAACTGAGCTCAGAGGGAGGAAAGTGATCCCCCCCTCCCCAAGTTGCACAGCTGGGAAGGCCAAAGCTGTGACTGAAATCAGGTCTGGCCCAAGTCCATTTTAGCCAATTTTCCTGAAAAACAAAAACAAAATAGAAAGATGTCAGGTGGTGCAGGCACACACCTTTAATCCCAGTACTTGGGAAGCAGAGATCTCTGAGTTTGAGGCCAGCCTGGTGAGTTCCAGGTCAGCCAGGACTTACAAGGGGATGGGGGTTGGGGGAAGAGAATGACAGGTGCTCACCATGTAGCCCTGCTTCCCAAGTGCTGGGATTAAAGGTGTGTGCCACCACTGCCGGCTGTTTCTCCTTCTTTTCAATATGGGTAGGGCTAGCTCATGAATGGACACATGACTACCATAAGAGCAAAAGTGTGACTGGAAGAAGAGGCTTCATGAGAGCCTTCTGTGTGAAAAAGGAAAGCAAGGGGGAGTCTCAGGAGCTGCCAACAGTCACTTTGGCAAGATGGAGAAAGGTGGCCCAAGAAGCAAGACAGCTAGGAGAAGGAACCACTGGGATATAGGTTTGGGATGCTGTAAGACTATACCTGAAGGCTATCTGATGTGCTTCCTGTTACTTGTATTTTGAAAGCATCTCAATAATCATGGTGTCACAGAATGCTTGAAAGTACGGTTACCTGTCTGAAGTTCCTGGTTACAGATTAGAAAAAGGAAAGCCATTCATCAGGTGATGAGTGACATGAAGGGAATATCTGAGCCAAGTCCTAAACTTTGAGGAAGCCTATGTCATTGGACTTATCCTCTTGACACCAATCATTGATTCATTGATTGTTGCATCGTATCTGTGATGTATCTCAAGGATGGTCCCACAGCCTCTGCCCAAGTACCTTGGAAAGGGCTCTCACTAGCTTCATCTTTGACTTTTTACACATGTGCATGTCAGCCCAGCAAGGCCTCCTGCATTCCTACATCAGCCAAAGGAAAAGTCTTGGGGCTCAAAGTTTCCTCCTCCAGGTTTCAAGCTGGGACTGCAGCACTCATGTCAGGTCTGGGGCAGGACAGGAATCTATGTCCTGCCGAGAGCAGCCAGGCTTCTATGCTGTATAAGACAGCCTGGGACAGAGCTCACAGCTTTATAATGAGCAGGTGGCAGTGCCTGGGGGAGCAGCTAACTGGGCAGCAGAGGTTAGTTCCTGTGTTGCTACTTAGCTATTCAACCAGGCTGTTGGGTGTCTCTCAGCCAAGTTCATCTGCTCTTCAGGCAGCCTGGCATCAAGCTGGGCTCAGTGGTGGCACCATCCTCTTCAGTAGATAGCACTGTGCCAGAACCCCACCCCTCACTCCTAAGGAACATAAGAGCAAATATTAAGGCCATGCCAAGGCCGAACAGGTGATTTCCTAATTAAGGCTGAAGTAGACATGTACACTTAGAGTTCTGTTGCTGATTACATGGTAGCAGAGAAAAAAAAAACCCAAGTCACTGTCTTCCCTGTGAGAAAAATGGAATCATGGTCTGGTAAGAATCACCACTCCACAGAGCTTTCCTCCCCACTCACAGCAAAGCCTCTGCCATTCCTCTCACGGGGGTCCTGCTGTAGGAGAGGCAGGGGTTAGAGAGTGTGAACACATGAGACCCAGCACCTCACAGCAACAGTGATTGTCACAGTCATGGATAACTTTCCTAAAGGGCTGCTTTCCACATAGATTTGCCTGTGGCACTGAAGACCTGATTGGCTACTGTTACCTAAGAGGCAGGGCAGCTAATGACAGGATCCCTCAGGCACTTTAAGATAAAAGAGACTAAATTAATTTTAATGTTAATGGAAATACATAATTAGAATGCTCTAAATCAGAATAGTGTAGTCTTTCAAAACCTCTGGCAGCAGACTGATTCAGAACTGTGTTGCCTGGCTCGCTGGGCCTGGCTCTGGGTAGGTGCTCTCAGAAGACACTGTTCACAGCAGTTGCCTCACACACTGTCTACCCAATTCCCCATTTAGGTCCATGCTAGCCTTGGGCTGGCCTCAGGGTATAGGGCTTTGAGGCAAAAAGGTGGATCCCCCAACACTCCTCATCTCCCCGAGAAAGGACCTTTATGGCCATCATGGACCCTGTGAGAAAGTCCGAGTCACTCAAAGAAGGTTAAAAAAAAAATCTGTAAGATTGAAGGAAACTATGACGACTGTCCTGGGAGGCAGAAGGGGATGATAAAAAGTGGGTGTGAGAAAAAGTGACCGGTCAACATGGGAGCTGTCTACAGTTGGGGCAAGGCCTAGATTGGTAAAATAGACCATTCTGGCTTCCTGTCCAGTTAACCAGTAGTGTTACACAGAAAAGGCAGTAAAGGAGGCAGGGACCATGAACAAGAACCTCAGCCCAGACAGCAAGAGTCTAACAGTGCTACTACAACACCAAAGTAGCTTTGAGAACAGCTGAGTGCAGGTGAGGGGTCACAGCAACAGGTATACATGTAGGATGTGAACAGGCACAGGCAATGTGGGCTGTCTGCCTGGCCCTGACAGTCACCAAGTCTCCTCTGGGCTACAGTCTTGGCTTTGACTCACCAGCACTTGCTTATGACACTGAGGTGAGGGCTCTCCTGTAGGTAGCGCACACGGGGCCCCTCTGGCCAGAGCAGGTGGCCACCATGCTTTGGCTCCTCATACTCCACTGTTTCCTCTTGTCCAGAGAGTAAAGGAGGGTACCAGAAGTATTAGCAAGTTTGCCTTTTAACAGGCCTACTACCAAGTCAGAAAGCTACAAGTCTAAGTGTGATTTAGACTTACATGGCAAAGCTGGGCTCCAGTCTAAGTGGACTCCAGAGCTCATGCCCATTCTGTGAATCCCTTAGGGATCTCTAGGCCCCCCACTGTTCTGTTGTCTTTAGAAGGGCTAGGAATTCTCTAGGATTTAGACAGGAAAGCAATCAAGCACATGGACTTTCCTTGAAATATGAGATGGAAAAAGCAGGACCATCATTTGGGAAATGCTTTCCCCACATGCCAGAGCACCCCTCATTCATAAGCCCTGGAGCACACTCAGTTTTAACTTTACCCAGGAGGCAGTGTACTGGCCTTAGCATGGGCACACCTGTCTTAGCTGAGTGGATGCTTTCTCAGGAGTAGATAGAGTTGATATGGTTTTCCACAGACATATCTGGGCTGGCTCCTTATCTGTTTTAGCTTCTCCATCAATGTGGACAAGGAAGGTGAGAGACATAATGAACCCACAGTGTCCAGACCCATTTTGATTAACAACAGGCAGTCCATAGAGGGCTAGAATCTTCCAAAGGTGACCAATGGAGGCAGCCCTGACTCTGTCACATAACAATGATGACATCACTTGTGTACCCATGTACTACACAAAGCTCCAGGAAGCAATTCCAAAAGCTTTTACAAACCAGTGAAGGCTCTGTGCCCCAACAACAACCAATTCTTCAAAGAGTGGGCCTGCTAAGCTATCCACTTCTTCCAACTTCTAAGGAGCTACATCAGGCACATACCAAGGAATCCCAGCCTATAGATACCAGCTTCAACCCCTGCTTCCAACCATGCTAATGGAGGAAAGTCAGTAACATTTTCCAGCAGGTTCCTTAAACCTTGGGGTTCCTCACCTGGGTTTGGGGACCTCAAGAGGACTGCTGCCCATCCTGAAAAAGTCAGAATGGTTTGAGGATGAAGAGCTGGAAGACTTGGCTTCAGCCAGCCCATGGTGGGAAGGCAGGCGGTCCTCAGAGGGTTGTGGCCGGCTCCAGAGCACACTCTGTGGGGAGGATGAGTGACTCTTCCTCCTGTGGCAGAAGAGCAAGGCTGTCAGCTGGGTTCCAGAGCCACTTTGTCTATGTGGGAACTTTCATGCCCAGGAGGCACAAACACTTGTACCTCTCCCAGACTCAAGCCACAGGCAACAAGGGCTGGGACTTTAACTGAGACTCTAAGGCATTCTAATTGCACTGGCCCATGACTCAGAACATGTTAGAAAATTATTCTTAGTGTGCACTAACTGCTCTATTCCCTAACTTGTAAATGCTATACAACTCTGCCATGTGTCTAAGGAGGAAGACATTAAGGCCTCAGATCCAGCCACATTCTCATGGGAGGACCCTCAAAGCAGGTCCCTTAACATCGTATGTACCCACCACCTTTTGTTTCCTTTCGCTAAGCTGGCCTCCTACGTCCTGGCACACTGTACAGGGTACTCTTCCCTCTCATCTCGCTGCTTCTTGGTCCCACTGGGAGCACCAGCACTTTATGCTCCTGGGCCACCATGCAGTGCCCCTCACCAACCAGATGGCTGAGCTCTGAGGCCCAGTACAGACAGCAGGGGATGAAGCTGTGCTCTCAAGCCTTCTGCCAGAGCCCCTTTGTTCCTGGGGCTACAGCTTGGCCCCCTAGGGCTGGTGGCCTTGGGACACAGCTGTGAGTTTACTCTGTCTCAGTCTGGCCCCTCACCAAGCTGCCTGAGTTGGTGCTCCTGCCGGGACAAGTTCCACAGCCTCATAGGTGAAGCTCCCCACGGCTCCTGGTGAATTCTCCAAGACCAGGGAGAAGTCGCTGCCTAGGCTGGTGGTGCTGCCTCGGTCTCTGCGTCCTGAAAGCAGCCAGAAAAAGTCAGCATGTTACCTTCCCTACTACCAGTCTCCCACCTTTTCCACACTACATGGATGAATGGATAAGCTTCTAGAACAGGTCCCCATGTGGTCTACTCTCAGGTAGCTATGGTGAAGAAGTAAAGGCTGTTGGGGGCCAACACTCACTCAACATGCAGATATCTTCCATAGTGAAGCCTGCATCCCGAGTTGGCAAACTCTTCCTCCTAGAATGACAACCCCAAGCAGGAAATTTGAGCTGCAGCTGGAGTTTTCTCTGTCACCTCCTCTTGACTCTGCCCAGCCTGCAGGACAGTTCCAACTACTGGCACCACATGGAACGGGTCCCACCTACAGAGTCTGCCAAGTACCAGGCTCACTTCTGGGATCTACTAGCTTGTCTCTGCCTGTCACATGCACTAGACTAACCCATAGTCAACACAGTCTGCTTTTCCTTTCAATCATGGCCCAACAAGTGGCAAGTTTGGTAGAAAGACAAGTCAGCTCATAGGACCCAAGTTCTCACTGGAGTCCCAGAGTAACTGCCAGACATACAAGACTTTCTCAGGCTGAAAGCAGATTTCTGCTCACTGTGAAGATGACCAGGCTGGCTTTGAACTCAGATCTGCCTGCCAGATGCTGGGATAAAGTGTGCACCATGATGCCCAGCTGAGTATGATTCAGTTTCTATGGGGTCATATTCTGAGTTTTTTTTCTTTTTTATGGTACCAAAGATTAAACAGGGCCTGGAGCATGGTAGGTGAGCACTCTACTACTGAGCTACATCCCAGCACATTTGGCCTTCTATAGGACCCAAGAATGATGAGCATCAGCTCAAGGCTGTGAGAAGTGAGGAGTCCTGTCCACAGGCTTGTTTCTTCCTACAGCATCACAGTTCTTCATCAAACCATCCATTCCCTGTTCACTTAGGTCCTCAACATGGACATTTGCTGTAGTTTACAGGGCTGGGATAAATACTCTACTGTGGAGGAGTTCCCCTGAGTGCTTTGGTCTCCACTTACCTCTGGGTCTTCAGGCAGTACTCTTCGGAGGTGATATGCTTCAAAAAATTGAAGCAAAAGAAGAAAATCTGAAGGAGTGAGAAAAATCAGAACACAGTGAGAAGCTAGCCTTCCCCAGTGGAAAGGAGACAGCAGTGTAGCACAATTAATAAAACCCAGAGACAGATATTGGGATTCAACCTGAAGACCAGAAAAGCAGCCAGCCACTTGCTCTTACCTCTACCTCAGTCCAAAAATGGCGATCCTGCCTCCAAGAATCCTCAGAATGAGACTGTGTCTGAAAACTGTCTTCCTCCCATTTTATATTCCTCTCTAGTGGTGGGATTAAAGGCGTGCACCACTAATACCTGGTTTTTATGGCAAACTAGTGTGGTTACTGGAATTAAAGGTGTGTGCCACCACTGCATGGTCTGTAAGGCTGACCAGTACTGCTGTTTTACTCTCTGATCTTCAGGCAAACTTTATTCATATTTATTAAAATAAAATGAAATATCACTACATAGCAACATTCAGAACTGGGCTGCTGGCTGCTCTGGTTAATCCCTCTTATAGAGAATGACCTGCTTTGGGGACCCTGCTGCATCTTCCATCTTCTGGGTTTATGATTGATGTGGGTGAAAGAGAGGGCTCAGCGGGGGTGGGCAAGTGCCCATGAGATGGGGTAGGGAAGGAAGGAATGTGCTCCTTTCTTGAGAACACAGAAGTCCAATGTAGAGCTTTCAAATCTTCAACATACATGTTCTTAATCTTTACAAAGAGGAGGTAACAGTAGCTTCCCACTTCCATCTAAGCGCAAGGAGAGCACTGACAGGGAAGGACAGCTGTGAGGGCAAGTATCTTGGGCATGGGGATTAGTGGATAAGGCAGACGTAGAAAGGCATTCCATGGGGTGGGGGGTCACATGATCTGACACAGGATCAGAACTTGTGTAGGGCAGTCATGGACTAGTTCAGAGTCTGTTGTGCTCCAGTCCTGTGAGGCCCAGGTCTTTGCTGTGAGTTAGGACAGGCAGAAGGTGCTGATTCTGGCAGCAACCCCATTTCCATGAGTAAATCCCAGCTAGTGTCCTAGTCCAGAGGCTTCAGTCTATTTAGCCTACATAACACACCAGGCTATACATCACACCAGTGATCCCCAAAGATGCAACCTATGAGATACAGGGAAACACTCACACATTCCCACAGGGCCCTGTAAGAGTCCCTCCAAAACAAAACAAAAAACCAAAAAAAATCAAACAAAAACTAGGCAGAGGGTTGTTCAGATCTCATCAGTATGAAAATACTCTATTATATAAAATGACACAGGTGTTCCATCAGACTCTTCAGCCTTTAATGTGCTAATATATCCAGGGAACCTCAAAGCAGAAGACAGGATAAAGAGGCACGTTATAGCTGTTTTTAGCTTGTTGTTTTATAGAGGTTTCTGTAGTCTGGGGAGGTAAAGCCCAACCCTCCAGTCTCAGAGACCTTTGCATACACTGAGGGACTGAAGGGTGGGACTCAGCCCAGACAGCTCAGCTTCATCTCTGCCCTGATTCTCGGAAGGGAGCATCTGGCCTGCTTTGGGAGAGGAGGGAGATGGAGTGGAGGACAGAATGTCCTAAAGCACCAGCAAAATCTCCAAACAAGAGTCTACAAAGAGGCCTTCTGCCCAGATTTCAACGCCGAAGGCTCTGCCTCTGGCAGAGTTCACGGGGCCTCCAAGGAATGGGCTTATGAGCTCTGCAGTCCTGCAGTCACATAAATGCTCAGAAGAGATTTGGAAGGGGGACGAGCAGCTAGACAGGATCAACAAAAGAAAGCTGGAGATAAGATGCCCAAGAAGGAAGCAAGCTCAGGAGCGGGAGGGAGAGAAAGATGCTTCTGAACAAAGCCAACACTGTCCTGATAGGTATCTCTAGCTCTGAGGGAGGCACCAGGAGACTCAAGGTTATGCTGCTCAAGGTCACCTAGGCAATAAGCAGGACAAGTAGACACACGCAAGCCCAACTTAAGATCTGATGCTGGGGGAAGCCATGACAAGCAGAGAAAGATGTGGAAAGGGCAGAGGAATCTGACCACGCTGAAGAGGAGGGACAAATGGACCTGGAGGCAGCCTACAGATGAGAAGTGGGCAGGACCATGCGTGCACGGAACACCTTAGGAAAAGGAAGGGATTCTGTGTGTGGCAGGACTGAAGATAGTAGCACTCCATGTTTCAGCCCTGAGCATGGGGTCATGGAAAGCACCCTATACATTGGTTCCAGAGCCAAGTGCAGAAAGCAAGAACATTAACTTAAAAGATCACAGCAGCTGTAACCAGAACTTTTTCTGCAGTACAAAGGGAGCCTGAGGTTCACACAGGGGGCTCTGTTCTCTTGCTTCCCCCTGCTCCCTAACGCTGCCTGAGGGAAGAAGATGGTGACCTCATCCAAGTATCCTGGGCCGAGAAACTGCCTCTACAGCATGGCAACCAAAATGAACGTCATTCTGTCTTAATGTGTGGTATAGGTCTATGAGGGGTACTTACCTCCTCTCCTTTGCTGAGCCTATCTACCAACATGTGCCTGAAAAAGAAAGAAGAGTGAGGAGTCAAAGGGTGTATAACACAGGGCTGTAGGAGGCTTGTGCACCAGAGACAGACCAGTCTTTGGCACTAATGCATCAGATGAAGCCTGCCAACATTTCTGATCTTTTCCAAAGGGAGCTAACTGTTTTCTTATCTCTGTTCCCCATAAAAAATACCATGCACATACACTTCAAAGGCTGGTGTTCCTTGAAAACTTACCCAAAGAGGAACCAGTCATAGGCCACAGTCAGGTAGAGGATCTCAGCAGGCTTCAGAGATGTGTGGATTAGCCCATCCTGGGAGAGTCCAAAGGTGGCAAAGATCAGAAAGATCAGACTTCCTTGCCCCAGGAGCAAACCATACCATAGACTGGGTGACCATGCCCGCTGACCAAGAACAGGGTTAAACATGACACCTGCTGAGTGTGCCCTCACCCCACAGCGTCTCTGT